AGACCATCCAGGGCTGAGCATCCCCTGGAGCAGGTCACTGTGTGCTCAAGGCCAAGCCATGGCACAGCATCCCCAGGATGGGATGGAGGGGCTCCAGCTGCCAGGGGGGACACTGGACTGGGGGGGAAGGTGGCAGAGGGGCTGTGCAGAGGGCAGTTGCCCCCTTGCCACTCCATGGCTCCATGCAGCAAGGAGATTTATGAAGACACCTACCAGAGACTGGACAGCCTGGAAGAAACCATCCGTGAGCTGGAAATAACCATCAGTGAGATCAGCAGCCACCCCTCGGTGGAGTTTGTGTTCCCTAAAGACCTGCTAGGACAAGCAGGACCCAAGGAGGCCAGCGAGGACACCAAGGAAGGTCTGAGGGACCTCCAACACAGCAGCTGTGATGATGGGACTGTGCTGGACCTCAGTCAGGCCAAAGATGATGCTCCCAAGAGTCCGTCCCAAAGCAAGACCAAGCCACCGCTGCTCCCCAAGCCTCAGCTGCCCCTCGGCACTCCACAGGTTTATTTCCTATTATCCCTCTTGCCGTGCTCTGCCCTGGACTCACTCTGATGTCTCTTCCTCCACCTCTACCTGCTCCCTCTCTGTGACTCTACCTTCAGGCAGAGACAAGGTGGAAAACAACTCTCCTTTGCTCCCTGTCACTTGAATGGGGTTGGGAAGTACAGGCAAGCAGGAGAGAGCTGCAGGCAGGAGTCAGAAGGAGATGGTGCTGGGCAGTCCCATCCCTGAATTAGATCCTGGATAAGGTGGTGTCCTCTGCCCTGGCAGGTTTTGGGGCTGAGCACGGTGCTGGTGATGACAGGGCTGGTGTTGAGCATCCCATGGGATCCATGGTGAGCATCCATCGAGGCTGGAGCGGGTTGGGTGCTCTGGGTGACAAAGTATCATCCTTCGCTTTACCACTTTGCATAAACACTTTCCTAATGAACTGCAGTTGGAGCCTGGCAGATGTTTCTCCTAATTAAATCACAGCATAGGCTCCCTGAAGCCATCCAAATTGCTTTCTGCTGGAATCCAGCTGAAGAGCTGGGAAAAGAGGGAGGGGAAGCACCCCGAGCTGCTCTGATGTCAGTCTGCTCCTTTATTAACAGTCAGCACTGGGGAATAAATCTCCTTTTCCATTTGGAGCCGATATCCCAGCCCCAGTTCCCAGCAGCACTGGGCCCAGTTGGGGTGTTCTCACTGGGTGAATGAGCTGCCAAGTGGGTGTAGCTGCAGTTTTTCCTGTTGTTGGCTCCTGCTGCACTGCTGGAGCCCAGGAAACTGTCGGTGGAGCTGCAGGATGGATTTGTGGCTGTGGCTGGAATGTGCATGTGTGTACACAGGAAGCAAAGCTCAGGATTAGGCAGGAGAGGCTGCAATGAGTCAGACATAAAGGAGAGAAGGAGAGGGAAGGTGTTGTGTCACCTTCCAAGGATGCTGCGTTGGTTGGGAATGCTCCCAGTGTTGGGAATGCACTGGGGACAGGGTGGTACAGGCACATGTGAGATTCTTGGGGCTGTCCTCTACAGGGCCAGGACATAACAATCCTTGTGCATCCCTTCCAGCTCAGGATATTCCATGGTTCTGTGATTTCCTTGCACTGCTGGGTACAGAAGTCCCTGTGTCCCATCCATGGGACCACTGAGGATCCCAAAGCAGAGCAGAGAGCTGATCCTGCATGGATTTGCCACCCTGGCCTGACTGCAATGTCCTGCTGACCCTCTGTGTTGCCCTGGCACAGGCAGTGATGGCAGGGAGATGATCTGGGGTGCCCCAGGCAGTGGGGGGGGACACAGGGAGAGCCTGTGACATTGGCACTGCTTTGGGTGGGTGTGTGCAGGTATCACTTCCCTCACTGCTGCTCTTGCAAGTCTTTGTATCTCCACCTGTGCACAGCTAGTTAATAAACACCTCTGTATTCCCACTGCCGCCGTTTCCACCTGGAATCTGCTTCTGCCTGCCGTGGCCTTTCCCTTTCTCTTGGCCATGCACCCCTGCCCAGGCAGGATGCTCTCCTCCCACCCTCCGTCTCCTGGTGTTTGCTGTGTCTGCCCCTAACTCCCTCTTTGGTGGCTCCTGGTAAGTCTGAGCGGGTTTCTGAGCTCACCCACAAGATCTCTCCTGGCTCTGCCACCATGGGCTGTCCAGGCAGGGACAGGATGGTGCCACAGGGGCTCTGCACAGCTCCAGGCATCCAGTGCCAAGCTGCCAACAGTGCTGGTGGAGCTTCACCTACCAATTTTAACCCCCTTTCCCAAATTCTCTCTCCTGGCAGAGTGGTGGTGTTTCCATCCCGGCCATGAAGGTGGTGAATCCTGCATCCAGGCTGAAGCAGAGCCAGCAGGGCAGCCCAGACAAGAGCAAGCACATAAAGCAGCGGATGGAGTACATGAGGATCCAGGGCCAGCAGCAGGTAGTCCATCCCTAGTGCCATCCTGGCCAGTTCTCCTGGCAGCAGGGTGAGCTGCAGGCTGCCCACGGTCCTGGCATCGCCCTCACTGCTTCCTGCAGGGTCTGGGTGAGGGGCAAGGGACACCCTGCAGGTACTGCTGGCAGGGAATGGGCTCTCTTGGTGCTTTCACGTCTCGGCTGAGCCTGGTGGGACTGAGGGTGGAGGGATGTGGCTGTTGAGGGGCAGGAAGGGGCTCTCTCCATGATCTGTGCCCAGCGTGGTGCTCTCCACAGTTGGCTCATGGGGACAGGGACATGACTTTGTGCTGAGAGTGACAATGTCATTCCCAGAGTGGCGTCAGGATGAAGCCGGAGTCGTTTGTCCCCCAGCCCTGTGTGCCACTGCTGCCCTGATGGAAGGACTGAGCCCCAGCGTTGGTTTCCTCACCCAGACACCTCTTTGACCACAGTGATGAGCATGGCAGAGCCATGTGCTTGGCACAGGGGCTCCACGGGGATGCACTTACCACGGTTGGGGCTGCCCAGCCTGTTCTGGGAGGTTTTGGGGAGTTAGAACACTCCATGCACTGCGATGTCACATCCACAGAAGCAGCTTGCCCTGGGAGGGGATGTTACAGGCAGGTTGATGGTACCAGTGCACCTGAAAGTGTTGCAAGAGGGTGGGGGGGCCACAGCAGCTGGAAGAGAAACATTTTGGGATGGGACGGAGTGTCCCCCCATCCCTGACCCAACACCCATCCCTCTCCCACCCCCGGGGGCAGCTCCTGCTGCAGGCAGCAGAGCTCACCCCATCTGTCCTCACTGACACCCCAGTGCTGGCAGTGGCTCTCCAGCTTGCTCAGGCCATGGGCAAGAGGACCACAGCCAGTTCAGTGCCCTCCACTCCTCATCACCTCTTCTACCCCTTCCCCAGCTCCCTCATCCCTCGGTGGGCAGCAGCACCACGAGTGGGTTCACCTCTTCCTCTCCCCACGCTGTGTCTCAATCCCCTTCCAGGGGCCTGGCATGAAAACCCATCCAATAAACCCGATTCTGCTCATTCTGTTGGATCCATAAACCCTGTTGGATAAACCAAAGGTTTTTTTCCCAGCTACTTGGAGCTGGATTGGGGCAGATTTCATGCAATTTGGGCAACTGTTGCATGAGCAAAGTGGACACCTCTCTGCCCCCCAACCCTGGCTCTGGCAAGAGGACTCAGTCTCCCCTCGGCTGCTCCATCACCAGGGTCTGTCCCAATGGCAAGACATCCCCAGGCAGGGTCTGTCCTCGAGGTTGAGGTCTCCCTGCCAGTCCCCCCCAGCATATTGGGGGTGCATGTGGGTTTTTACACCCCCACAGAATCAGGGAGGGGCAGGGGGTTCCCTCTGCCCCCTGTCCAGGGCTGGCACTGGAGAAACTCCTGCTAAAAGGGCTGTGAGGGATCCTGGAGGGGCTGGGATGCATCTCCTGGCCACAGGCATCCCAGGGAGTTTTTTTTGAGACCACACCCCAGCACAGTCCCAACTGTGCAGTGTCACTGTGGTCCTCCTTGTCCCCACCTTGGAACACTCTCAGTCACCTGGTGCCCTCGCTGGGGTGACTGGACCAGGAGTTTTCCATGGCATTTTGTCCTCCTCGTGCAGGATTTGGCCACGTGTCCCCACCCAGCAGCCCGACCCCCTGTCGCAGAGGCAAGGTGTGGCTCTGGGATCCCTCTCCCCATTCCAGGAGGGTTTATGAGCATCATTCCCTCCCAGAACCATGGACCAGCCTTTGGATGAGTTGGGCTGGGTGATGCCAGTGCCGGTGGTGACCCCGGCGCGGTGTCACTGCGGGACAGGGTGGGCACTGTCACCTCTCGGGCTGGGGCCAAGGCTCTGCCGGGTGCTGTGCCCGGTCTAACGCTGCCCTTCTTGTCCCCCCCTGCCTTCCCTCCCTCTCCCCTCCGCCTGCGTGTGAGCCTGTCTGTCCTCGTGGCTGTCTGTCCGTCG